GGGGGGTGACCCAGGTGGGCACAGAGCTGGAAGGAGCAGAGGTCTCGGACCCCCGGCGTGGGGTCGTTAGGCCTAACGAGCTCATTAACGCAGTATGCGGGGCTCTGGGCTCTCCTCCATCATTAACCCCGGGGTCCGAGCCTCCCTTCAGCCTCCCTCCATGGGAGCAGGCGCAGGTGGGCACAGCACCAGGATCAGGGCTCCAGGACCCCCCATCGTGGGGTCGTTAAGGGTAACGAGCTCATTAACAGCAATTAGCGCGGTGCTGGGCTCTCCTCCATCATTAGAAATGGAGCCTGGGCTTCTCTTCAGGCCCCCCCCCCCAATGGCAGCAGGGCCGGGGGTGACCCCAGGAGGAGCGGTGGGGCCGAGCCCCCCAGCATGGGGTCATTAAGCATAACGAGCTCATTAACAGCAAGGCAAGGGCGTCTGTTCTCTCCTCCAGCCTCCTCCCATGGAAGCAGGGCCAGGTGGGCGCTGAGCCACGGGGGCCGAGACCCCCAGCGCGGGGTCATTAGGTGTAATAAACTCATTAACAACAACCCGGGCTTCCCTTCGGCCCCCCAGCGGAAGCGGGTCACCCCAGGGGGGGCTGGGAGCCTCAGCGTGGGGTCATTAGGGGTAACGAGCTCATTAACAGCAGCCGCGGGGCGCTGAGCTCCCCGGCCCCCCCTGATGGAATCGGGCTGAGGGGGGGGCAGCCCTGGGGGGGGGGGGGCGGGGACCCCCGGCACGAGGTCATTAGGCATAATGAGCTCATTAACCGCGTGGGCTGCGCTCTCCTCCAGCCTTCTCCAATGGAAGCTGCGCAGGGGTTGGAGCCCGGCTGGGCACGGAGCTGCAAGGCGCAGAGGGCCGGGAACCCCGGCGCGGGGTCATTAGCGCTAATGAGCTCATTAAGAGCAGCCCTCGGGCTCTGGCTCTCCTCCAATGGAAGCGGGCGCAGGGGTTGGAGCCCGGCTGGGCACAGCACCACGATCAGGGCGCCAGGACCCCCAGCGTGGGGTCATTAGTCGTAATGAGCTCACTAAGGGGGTCGTTAGTCGTAATGAGCTCATTAAGGGGGTTGTTAGTCGTAATGAGCTCATTAAGGGCGGTGAGCGCGGCTCTGGGCTCTCCTGCAGCTTCTCCCAACGGAAGCAGCCCGGGGGGCACCACGAGGAGCAGAGGGCCGGGACCCCCGGCGCGGGGTCATTAGGGGTACCGGGGTCATTAGGATAACGAGCTCATTAAGAGCAGCGCGTGGGGCTCCGGCTCTCCCCATCCGCAGCCCTGGGCTCCAGGCTCCCCTTCCGCCCCGCAGCGTCGCACCGCGGGGTCGTCAGCCCTCGGAGCTCGTTAGCGGGCGGGCGGCCGTACCTGGTGCGGGTTCCAGTCGCTGTCGAAGATGATGACGGTGTCGGCCGACTGCAGGTTGAGGCCCAGCCCGCCCGCCCTGGTGCTCAGCAGGAAGATGAAATACTCGGAGCCCGGCTCGTTGAACGTCTTCAGCAGCATCCCGCGATCCTCCGCCTTCGTGGTCCCTGCAACGCACGGCCGCAGTTCCGCGCGGAGCCAGCAGGGGGCGCGGCGAGAACGGGGCGGGATGGGGGAGGGATGGAGGGGGGGGGGGGGGAAGGGTCCTGGAAGGACGGGAAGCCGTGGGGTGGTTGGGTTGGAAGGGTCCTGGAAGGTCATAGAAGCATGGAATGGTTGGGTTGTGTTGGATCGGGTTAGGAGGGTCCTTGAAGGTCACAACATTGTGGAATAGTTGAAATGAATTGGAAGGGTCCTAAAAGGTTACAGAACCATGGGGAAGTTGAGTTGTGAGGGTCCTTGAAGATCACAGAACTGTGGAGCACAAAATAATGAGGTTGGGGTGGAAGGGTCCTGGCAGATCACAGCGCCATGAAATGGCTGAGGTCAAAAGGTCCTGGCAGATCACAGAACCGTGGGCTGTTTGGGCAGGAAAGGACGTTGCTGAGCGAATGAGGAGCGCTGCAGGTCCACGTCCTGTTTGGGGGCAGCGCGGTGCAGCCCAGCCCCCCCCCCCCCTCCAGGCTGTGACCAAATCAATGCTGCCCAGGAGCCGTTTGGGGGCAGAAACCCCAATTTTGGTCACACTTTGCGCCCACGGCCTCAGCAGCGCCGCAGGAGCTGAGCAACAGCGGCTGCAGCACCGCAACCGGGCGCAGCTGCATCCGTCCGTCCCTCTGTCTGTCCGTCCGTCTGCCTGCTGCAATGTTCCCCCTCCGCTCTGAGCTGCGCCCATGCGCTTCTGCCCAGTTTGCAGCCCTGCTCTGCGCAGCGCCGGTGCATCCCTGCAGTCTTTGTGTCTCCACGCAGCCCCAATGCATGCAGCGCTGTTTGTTTCCATGCAGCCCCAATGCATGCAGCGCTGTTTGTCCCCATGCAGCCCCAATGCATGCAGCGCTGTTTGTCTCCATGCAGCCCCAAAGCATGCAGCGCTGTTTGTTTCCATGCAGCCCCAATGCATGCAGCGCTGTTTGTCTCCATGCAGCCCCAATGCATGCAGCACTGTTTGTCCCCATGCAGCCCCAATGCATGCAGCGCTGTTTGTCCCCATGCAGCCCCAATGCATGCAGCGCTGTTTGTCTCCATGCAGCCCCAAAGCATGCAGTGCTGTTTGTCTCCATGCAGCCCCAATGCATGCAGCACTGTTTGTGGCTCTGAGCTCTGCACAGCACTGATGCATTCTGTGATGTTTTTATCCCTGCTCAGCACTGCCGCACACCCGTGGTGCAGCTCATAGCACTGAGCTCTGCCCAGCACCAATGCACCCCTGTGCCATTTGTGGCTCTGTGCAGCACCAACGCATTCCCGTGCCGTTCTGCCCAGCACCGCTGCATCCCCGCGCCGTTTGTGGCCCCGCTGCAGCCCCGCAGTGCAGTTTACAGCACTGAGCTCTGCGCAGCACCACTGCATCCCTGTGCTGTCTGTAGCTCTGCACAGCCTGGCTGCAGCCCCACATTGCAGCTGCACTGAGCTCTGCCCAGCACCAACGCATTCCCGTGCCGTTCTGCCCAGCACCGCTGCATCCCGGCGCCGTTTGTGGCCCCACTGCAGCCCCGCAGCGCAGTTCCTGCCCCCCCCGAGGCCCCCGGCGCCCGCAGCCCCGCACGCACCGTCCAGCCGCAGGTACTTGAAGCCGCGGTAGGCGAAATAATCCTCCATGATGGTCATCAGCGACGTCATCTGGCAGAAGAGCAGCACCTTGTGGTTGGTGGCGCGCAGCTTGGGCAGGATGCGGTCCAGCAGCTCGAATTTGCCGGAGGCGCGGTACAGATCCAGCCTGGGGGGCACAGCGCTCAGCCACGGGGGCGCAGGGTCGTTGGTGGGGGCCAATAGCGGTCATTAGCCCCGGCTGCTAATGAGCGGCAGCCACTCACCCCTGCACGATGCCGCCTGTGAAGCCGAGGTGCTCCGAAAAGGATTCCTGCAA